ACTACGGTTCCTTCGGCAAAGACAGAAGAGCGTAGCTGTGGCTGGCTCCAGCTCAGGACTCAGGCAGGCCTGGATTCAAAACCTGGCTCTGCCATTTACTGGCCGTGTGATCTTGGACAAGTCTCTTCACTTCTCCGAGCAAATTATAAGTAAAACAGAGCTGTTATAACCCCGTATTATAAAGAGTTGGTCAGCATTTAACATGACGTCTGGCAAGCAGCAAGTACTTAGTAAGTGTTACTACTATTCTTATGTCCTTTCTCCATAATGACTGTTTTAAATTTTTTTTCACATAAGTTAGTTATAAGCATGTGTCAAAGTTTTATTCCAAGCTTGCCACAAAGCCAAGTCAACAATTCCCTTTTGTTAAGGACATTTCACAGGAAAAGGGAATGGTTGGATAATCATTATGAAACTGAATACGAGACAAAGAATGTCTGATAATCGACCAAGTGTTTGGGTAGTGATTTCCCCGAAGAGGTTTTAATCTTGTTAAAGTTTATCAGAAAATTGCTTAAGCATTTATCAGGAATGCTAATGTGCTCCCAGAAGGAGGTTGTGCATTGTATCATGAAAGAGAGTTCTGTCGCAGGCTGTGATTGCGACACTCTTTTCTTAATCATACCCATAATAATTGTGGCTGACATTTCTTGAGCCCTCACTATGCACCCAGTTTGAAGCCATACCACAGGCTTAGCTTTGAAGCAGGCCCTGGATGCATTTTGTCATTGCCCCCTACCCTGCCCCCACTCCCACTTAGCATGCTCGGTTCCAGGGTAAGACTATGCAGGTCTTACCCTAAATGCTGACGGGATAGGTGAAGGGGAGCAGCGGCCATCGTGTCCCAGGCCTTTGCACAAGGTGGGACAGGTACCCTCTCTTGTCCTCCATATCACCAAAATGGAATAAATGGGTTTCCGAGAGTAGAAAGACCAACTGCTTATTTTTTTCCTAAAACATATTAAAATAGTGCTATATCTATCAAAACTTAAAACCTCACTCTGGCCTGTAACTGGGAAATCACTGGAGATTGCTTTTCGTATTTTTCATATCCCCTCACTCTCCCCACAAGCCGCTGGCAACCACCATTCTACTCTCTGCTTCTGAGTTCGATTTTTTTTTAGATTACACTTACAATTGAGATATGAATGTCTCTTTATTATTATTATTTTTTGTAGAGACAGGGTCTCGCAATATTGCCCAGGCTGGTCTCCAACTCCTGGCCCCAAGTGATCCTCCCGCCTCAGCCTCCCAAGTAGCTGGGATTACAGGCTTGCACCACTGTTCCCAGCTCCACAATTGCCTCTTGATAGCCTTTAACTCTTCGATGAGTTCTGGGGTATTTAGGAATCTTTGTTTTAGTGGATTCCTTTGGTGGAAATTGGTGAAGGAGCTGTGAGGGTTTTTTTTAATTTAATTTTTCATAGTGGTAAGATACACATAACATAAAATGTACCATTTCAACCATTTTTTTTTTTTTTTTTTGAGACAGAGTCTCACTCTTTTGCCGGGCTAGAGTGAGTGCCATGGCGTCAGCCTAGCTCACAGCAACCTCAAACTCCTGGGCTCAAGCGATCCTTCTGCCTCAGCCTCCCGAGTAGCTGGGACTACAGGCATGCGCCACCACGCCCGGCTAGTTTTTTCTATATAGTTTTAGTTGTCCGATTAATTTCTTTCTATTTTTGGTAGAGACGGGGGTCTCGCTCTTGCTCAGGCTGGTTTCGAACTCCTGAGCTCAAACAATCCGCCCACCTCGGCCTCCCAGAGTGCTAGGATTACAGGCGTGAGCCACCGCGCCGGCCTCAACCATTTTTAAGTGTACAGTTCGATGGCATTGAATACATTCATTGTTCCATAACAATCACTATCATTCATGGGTGGAACCATCATCTCCTAATCCTGAACTAAAACTCTGTACCCATTAAACTCTACAATTCTCCACTCCCCTCCTCTCAGCCTGCTAGTAGCCACTGTTCGACTTTCTGTCTCTAGGATTTCAACTACTCTAGGTACCTGTTGACCCAAAATAAATAACTGAGGCAAAAATCTCAATCAATCGAGGTTTAGTAAGCCAAAGTCAAGGATGCACCCAGGAAAAACATAAACCACAGACAAATCTATGGCTGTTTTTCCAAAGGGGAATTTGGAAGTTTCAGCATTTAAAGGCTCACAGAAAGAAAAAAAAAAGGAAGGGTTGGGGTGGTGAGACAAATGGCTTTATTCTTGCGAGATTCAGGAAAATCGGCATTTCATATACGGCAAATGTTTCTCTTACGGTACCTCATATAAGTGGAACCATCCAGTATTTGTCCTTTTCTGTCTAGCGTATTTCATTTAGTATAATGTCCTCAGAGTGCATTCATGTAATAGCATGTATCAGAATTTCATTCCTTTTTAAGGCTGAATAATATTCCATTGCAGGGATATATCACATTGTTTATTCATTCATCCATCAACAGATATTTGAGTTGTTTCTACATTTTGGCTATACTGAATAATGCTGCTATGAACATTGGTGTACAAATATGTTTGAGTCCTTACTTTCAATTCTTTTGGATATACATCCATAAGTGGGATTGCTGGACCAAATGGTAATTCCATGTTTAATATTTTGAGGAACCAAGGAGCTGCATTTTTTGTTTAGAATTGAGGCACCACTGGGTACAGAAGCAGCCATGATAGATGTCCCAAAATTCAAGTTGGTTGAATAAGTGACAGTCTAAACCCATCAAGAATTCTCAAAAATCTTAGGGAGGGGATTCTGCTTCCAAAGACACTGCAACTGGAGGCAGAAGTATTCAGGCTGATTCCTCCAAGTTTCCAAGATGGATTCTGGACAACAGCACACACCAGGCTAAAGATGTTTTGTTTATATCTATAATCAATTTACTTGAGCTTTAAAGTAACTTACAGAAATAATTAAACTACAATAAGCTGAAAATAGATAAAGAAATCAAGGCTGATAGAAAATAAGCGTAGAAAAGTGAGGTGAGGTTGGAAGAAAAGCTAGTATATAGGAGGTTACTAGGGGTAGACACTGTGCTTCCCAGAGGCAAAGCAAAATGACAAACAAAACCTATGGAAAGACAAATGCCACATGATCTCACTTACATGTGGAATCCAAAAAAGTCAAACTCATAGAAGCAGAGACTAGAACGATGGTTACCAGGGGCTGGGGCAGGGGCGGTGGGGATTAGGGACGACAACCCAAAATAGGGGCAGGGGCGGTGGGGATTAGGGACGACAACCCAAAGTAAGTGACCGAGGCACACATCTCAACTAATTGAGGTTTATTAAAACCAAAATTGAGGACGTGCCTGGGGAAAACACAAACCACTCTGCTCCAGCCCCAGCCAAGGCAGTTTCAATTGCAAATGCAGAAATGGGGCAATGAACTCTGCCCTTGCATCACAGCCCTTGGGACACATTTCCTGTCTGCGGTCCCCAACCCCCAGGCCGCAGCCCATACTGGTCCCTGGTCTGTTAGGAAATGGCCCCACATCAGCATCACTGCCTAAGCTCTGCAACACCCCCCACCCCCGGTCCGTGGAAAAATTGTCTTCCATGAAACTGGACCCTGGTGCCAAAAAGGTTGGGGACTATTGCTCTATGTGTAGACCTCTCCCTCTGTACAATGAGGATAAAAGGATGAAAGAGCTCGTGCATGCACATCCTTAGCAGATCACCTCATTGTTGCAAATGACTGTACCCCAAAAGGCTGGCCCTGAGGACAGCCCTCAGTTTCACCAATGGCAACTGCTCCATGGTCACCCTACTCCCACCTTTACTCAATAATCCATCAAGTTGACACCATCCGTTTTATATCCCAGATAGGCTGACAAACTCATCCCAGTTTGCCTGGGATCTCCCTGATTTTAGCAATGAAAGTCCCACTTCCTAGGAAACCCCTCAATCTCAGGCAAACTGAGACAGTTGGTCACACAAGTGAATATTTACTAGTGAGCTGGGTCCTAGACCTACAGGGCACTCCAGCCTTCCTTAATGCCACCAGATCTGTCTCACTCCACAATCCACTCTATTCTACAATGTTAATATTCTCATGGATCCTAAATGTGAGCCAACTCCCAGCACTTGTTCATCTCCTAATCCCAAGTGTACACCTCAAGCATTATCCTATGTGCCAAGCCTCTAGCGTTTGTTAAAAACAGGAAAGGCTCAAAGAGCGAAAACAAGACTGGGCCTCTGGCCTACTTTCTCCACTCCCAGCCTTGCAGGCTCATAGGTTGTCGCTGATTTAAAAAGCAGGCAGGGCCGGGCGCAGTGGCTCACGGTCTGTAATCCTAGCACTCTGGAAGGCCAAGGCAGGAGGATCACTTGAGGTCAGGAGTCCAAGACCAGCCTGAGCAAGAGCAAGACCGTCATCTCTACTAAAAATAGAAAAATTAGCCAGGCATGGTGGCACATGCCTGTAGTCCCAGCTACTCAGGAGGCAGAGGCAGGAGGATCGCTTGAGCCCAGGAGTTGGAGGTTGCTACGAGCTAGGCCGATGCCATGGCACCAGGCTGATGCCTGGGCAACAGAGCAAGACTGTCTCCAAAAAAAAACAAAGCAGGCAAAGCAAGTCTGTAAGGTTTATTAAATGGCTAACAACAGCTACAAATTCAAAACAAAAAGTCTTGGTTATTAAAAAGTCATTGTAGGCACAGGCAAGGGGACATGGGGCTGGCCTTCCCTGTCCACGGCCCTGTGAGAGACACTGCTGTCAAAACTCAGAGCTAGGTGAGGTCTCCCACGTCTGGACACCAATTTTTGTGCAGAGTGAACAGTTGTTCCACGATGCTCTGAGCAGGCAGCAGGGAGCGGCTCTGGTGACGCTTCACATGGCAACCTCACACTCCATTCTCTGCCCCTTTGGTGTCCACGGACACCACGAAGAGATTCTAAAAGAAAGAACGAGTGAGGTCAGTGGTTCAGGAATCCACATAAGCACAGACCAGCTCAGCCTCTGGCTGTAGGCTCCCAGCCCTTGGCGCTAACTCACCATGGTGAAAATTATCGGCAAACCCAGAGGCCTAGGTCATCCCAGGGGTCACTGATTGCATGGCCTTGGGACTTCTTTGCATGGTCTCTGCATCTAAGGCTGAGACCTAAAAGGGGGAGGAAGCATCCAGGTATTTAGTTTTCAGCACCACCTTCTCCTCCCCAAGCTGACATCACCGAGGGGGTCCTAACCGACCGGGATCCTACTTTATGCACACCAAATTGGAATTGGTACAAAAGGAAAACTGTCTTAAAAGTTCATTTTTTAAAAGAAATGATTTTCTTTTAAGCAGTTCACAATCAGGGCAACTGACCAGAAAGGGTCACCCACAGAAACACAGCTTCTCTGCCCCCGCCTTTATTCTTCTTTCTCCATTTATTCAAAATTACTGATGGCTCCTGGAGAAGCACACACATCTCCAATTTCGGAAAACGGCACCTACGATTTACGATTCTCACATGTGCCCCTCAGTGCCACCTGAACTCGTGCCAGTGTGCAGTCCACATAGAAATGCACAGACTGGCTTTGGCAAGGGGATCCAAATGTGGTCCAATCGCCATATCACATGGGGCCTGCACAGGCCCACGCTCTGAAGGGCTGGCAGGAGAAAGGCTGGAGTGTGGGAAAGCTCCAGGGTTTGGAAGGGACATCTGGACCCTTCAAACACGGGGAAACTTCTTTCAGCGTTCCTCTCCCTGTGGTATCAATGACCAGGGCATGGGTGGCCCGTGATCACTTTCGGGATGCAGGAGCAGACAAGGACAGAGGGAGAGCCAGGCAGGGCAGGAGGCCGGTGTCAGGAGCCCGGAGAATGGCTCGAGTCAGGCGGTGCAGCCCAACTGAGCACAGAGCTCCAGCAGCTGCCACTGTGTCCTGCAAAGACCCCACAGGGAGTCAAAAAACTCTTCCAGCCTTAAAATGTTAATAAGGAAATGTTTTTGGGTTGAAAAAGGTCAGGAGCATGTGGTCAAAACAAAAGAAAAACCTACTATTCATCCAGATTTGCTTATCGAATCAAGACGTGGAAGCTGAGAGCAGGTGACAGAGCTAGACAGGTTCAAAGGTGGGATCAGAGTCCCAGTGCCTGAATCCACACACGTCCCATCACGGCACACTGCTGACATCCAGCACTCGGTGGAGGGAGATGCCCCAGGAGCTCTCGTTACCCACATTTTCTGAAGGCCCCACCTCTGCCGCAGCCACTAAAGGCATGTATGGGACTGCCCCGCCGCAGGACACAACGCGGATCACAGGATGCTGCTTTCACCTTAGTTCCCCTCACATCATCATCTAAGCCCCAGGAAATATGCACAGCACTTTACAGGATGCAAAGAAACAAGATTCCAGAGAACTGTCCAAAAATCTTACCTTGGGACCCCACGGTCTAGCGCCCCGCTATGAAAACGACATGTCCCACGGAGCCTCTGCACACAGCACACCCATCTGCAACAGACACACAGAGAGCACCTGGCACAGAGGCTGGCAGATTACAGGGGGCTGCAGACCATCTCTGGCAGGAATGACATCCGTGTTATCCTATGTGTCAAGTGTGATCAGCTTGTTACGTATCAGTGTAAGCTAAAGGGATGCTGAGACCCAGCAATGCCTCTTCCGGACAGGGACCCAAAGGAGACGAAATCAGCACCTGGGAAAGACACCTGCACTTCCAGCCACTGCGGCACTGTTCACAACAGCCAAGACAGGGACACAACCTAAGTGTCCATCCACACACAATCGATAAAGAAAATGCAGTGTGTATGTACAATGGAGTATCACTCAGCCTTAGAAAAGGAGACCCTGGGCAGTGAGGGATAAAAACTTATCCAGTAGAAAAGATTAATAATGAAAGCAGATCCTGCCATTTGCCACAACATGGCTGGACCTGGAGGGCACCGTGCTAAGTGAAATGAGCCAGGCCCGGAAAGACAAAATAACTGTGTGATCTCACTCACACTATGTGGAATGTTAGAAAATAAAAAACAGTGGTTACCAGCCCGGCAGGAGAGGAAATGGGGAGATGGGGTCAAAGGATACAAAGTAGCAGAGATGCAGGATAAACGAGTCTAATGGAGATCTAATGTACAGTTAATAAAACTGTATTAGGGATTTTTGTTAAGTAGACTTGAGCTGCTCTTGTCACATGCACTAAAAGAAGTAACTGTGAGATGATAGATATGTTAATGTTTCACTATAGTAACCATTTTACTGTACATATGTAACCCATTGTCCCATAACATCATGTTGTAAACCTCAAATATTGATGCTAAAATTTATTTTAAAAAAAAGGAAGCCAAGGCCAGGAAGTTTTTGGGAGTGGCCCACGCCTGGCAGCAACTAGCACATACCTGGGACAGGTAACGCGTGGTGGGAGGGCCCCACACCTGCCATCCAGCGTGTAAGGGCTGCGTTCACGTATCTGACTACATGGTGCTTTGCCCACTTTGAGCAGTGTTCTAACCTGATCACCTTAATCGAAGGCAAGAGGGAAAACCTGCCCTGGTGGCGCACGGGCCCTCCCCGGCCAGGACTGAAGGTGTCTATCACAGCTGCTTGCTCAAGGGCACTCTTCGCCCTGACACTGCTCAGTGGGACGAGCCCTGTCACTGTACAACCATGCATTTCCTCCTCGTCTTCTTTTTGTCCAGGTGCTACATGTCAGGCACCAGGCACAACGTGAAACCAAGACAGGGCACTGCCCTCAAGAGGCTCACGGCATGGGGGCATGATAAGCAAACTAACTCCCAGATGGTGCAATCACTGCTGAGGCAGGGCTGAGGACGTGGGCAGGGGTGCAATGGGGAAGCAGAAAAAGCTTCCAGGGGGAGCCCTAGGAGGAGGGTGACCACTATTGTGGCTTCAAAACTAGCCCATAAACACAAACTCCCCGAGGCAGGGCCCTGCCTCACTACCCTTTCCTTAAGCCTCCTCGTAGCCCACACTGTGCTGGGCAGAAGGGGACCCATAGCGGGGCGCTAGACCGTGGGGCCCCAAGGCTACAGTGCCAGGCGCCAGGAGGGGGCAAAGCTGCCAAGAAGACGTGTACGAAAGCTCCAGAGTTTGGAAGGGATGGGAGTGGACCCTCCAAACACGGGGAAACGCTTTCAGCAATTTCTCTCCCTGCACTATCAATGACCAGGGCACGGGCAGCCCACGATCACTTTCGAATGCAGGGGCAGAAGAGGGGAGAGGATAGGCTGAGAAGGAGGCCGTGCTTGCACCCTGCGGAATGATCAGACTTACGGCCTAAGATTATGGGTGCTGCCTGATTCTCAGAGATCACTTACCCCCCATCTCCAAGAGCTAAAGGGAAGACAAAGATTGGCAAAAATACTGGGAATCCTTGGGCTCTAAAAGACTGGGTTTCAGTGGTAACAATGTTGATTATCTGACAACAGTATTTCCACTGAGTCTCAAAGACCACGCAGCTGGCCACTGGATACGGATCTAGGTTTGAGTCTAAAACGCAGCCCTCTGCCCCTTCCAGCGCACTGCTGATTTCCTCTCAATACAACAGTGGCCTCTCTCAGAGCCCAAACTAAGCTCTGGAAGCACCTTCTCTGCAGCGAACCCACCAAGGCAGAAGAGGACCCAGTCCTGTCCCTGACAGCCAAGGGGACAAAGCCGGGAGCAAAGGGAAGCAGCCTTCACCTGTGTTCTCACTCCCCACTCCACAGCGCCTAAACACCTCTGGCCCCGCAGCCTGCAGAGAACTTGAGCTCTAGAGAACCAGGCAGGACACCACTTACCTGGGACCTCACAATCCACGCTAGGACACCTCTCACGATGTACATGGAGCAGCACGATGAGACACTCCTATAGGGGACAAGAAGCCAGCAAGTAATGAACGCACTTGGACTGCTCAGGGCATGTCCAGGGAACCCTGCATTCACCCACAGGAAAACACCTGGGCAATCAGCGTCTCGGGAGGTGGATGCACTGACAGTTTTTCTAGCCCATCCTGGGTCACTGCTACCATCCCCTAAGGCTGTCCCGTCTGGAGTGGACGAGAATGGATCCTCTGCACATGAGGAAAACCTTGCAACCATATCACCAATAACCAAGACACGAGCAGTCTATAATCACCTTGAGCACAGGGGTAGAAAAGGACACTGAGCTTGCTGGAACCACAGACCAGTGTCAGAAGCCTGGAAAATGGCCTGACCTGGGACAGTGGCACAGCAAAGCACAGGACCCAGCAGCTGCCACCTTGTCCGGCACGAACTTAACCTGCCCAGCTAGGAGAGGACAAGAAGACCCTCCAGGTAAGAAAGCTGCAGAGTTCTTAGGGTGTGGAAGACAGGGATTGTGTGAGCTAAGAATGCTCACCTCACTGCATTTCTCTTTTTCAGATGAGGAAACTGAGGATCAGAGAAGGTCCCAAAGCTAGGACGCAACAGTGAAGTGATTGAGATCTGGGTACGGGTGAATCTGATGCCAAAATCCTTCCTGCTTCCGATTCAGACATTCTGCTGCTGACACACCAATGTAAAGGGTCCCTAAGACTCTACACTCCAGAAGATACATAAAGAGGAACCAAATGCATTCTTGATGACCCCAAAGAGGGTAACACTGGAGCCCAGGGTGAAGCCGCCTCATTTCGCCTCTATCTACTTCCCAGACTACATCATGCCCAGGGAACCTGCACGCGCCCTTGTGGGACACAAAGCCCAGATCTCCAGAGGACAGAACTCACCTCAGGAGCACCATGGTCCAGCTGCTTCCTGGCAGGATTGAGACACCTCTCACGGGCCCCTCTGCACCAAGATGCCTCCTCTGCAAAATAAGAAGCCCCAGATGAGCAATCTAGACATCACCTGACCAAACCCATCCTGGAAAGGACATGAAGAGTACCTGGCACAGAAGCTACCAGGCAGTAAATGCTTCACACAAGTTGGCTGTCATTACCTTCACATCAGTCTATTGTCTCAGTAACAGGAAAAGAAGAGCACATCGAAAGAGGGGCTGTGCGTAGTCTACGTCACAGATGGCTTCAGTTTCATCTTATTTATACATTGATTAATTTGCACTGGTCCTGAAGTAGTACACTGAATGGGACTCTGAACCTGGGACAGGTTTGGGAGTGGGCCACACCAGCGTGGCAGAGTCTGGTATGGGCACAAAGGACCATTATGGGTAGGAGTGGCTCATCTGTCATCTGGGGGCCAGGGCCAATCATATAGCATGCTCAATTACATCAGCCATGCCTAGCTATACCTCTGCTTTGGTCCCTGACACGACGACAATCCATGGGGAAATTCATCCTAGTGAACCAAGGACAAATCCCGTGTCAAGGGGGTATCACTGGATGAATTACGGCGCCAGTGGGAAATAGCTCTCACCACCCCCTTGCTCAAAAGCTTCTTCCTGACACGCCACGATGTGCTGAGCCCCATCCCCTTGCAACAGTGACTCGGTTTTTTCCCATCTCCTGTTTTTCATTTGTTCTGTAACTGCTGAACATCGACCACCTGCCAGGCACTGGGTAAACCAAGAGGCAAGACTCAGACACTGCCCTCAAGGTCCCAGAAGAAAGGCGAAGAGACAAGCAAACCAACTGCCACAGGATGTGACTAGTACCGAGAGGGGGCGGGGAATAAAAGGGTAACCCCCACCAGGTTCCAGCACCAACCCACTGGTTCCCTGATGCAGGAACCCACCCTGATGCACCCCGGTTAAAGCCTCACAGGCACACGCAGCTTCGCACAAGGAGCACTCAAGCCAGACACCAGGTGCCAGGAGGCGTTAAAAGGTGGTAAGGAGGAGTGTGGGAAAGCTCCAGAGTTTGAAAGGGACAGGAGTGGACCCTCCAAACACGGGGAAACGCTTTCAGCAATTCCTCTCCCTGCACTATCAATGACCAGGGCACGGGCAGCCCATGATCACTTTCGAATACAGGGCCAAAAAAGGGCAGAAAGTGGCCCATGAAGAGAAGCCCAAGTTGTCACGTTAGTTCCCACTAACCACCCAGTAAGGGGAGAGGGGCCCAGCCAAGCCCAGGACCCTGAGAGCTGTCACCGCTTAATACAATATAACGATCCCATCTGCCCCCGTCAACAGAGTGCACAGCAAGACCAAATTCTGGTAAAAACGCCTAAACTGTTCATTCACCCCACAAATACTGAGTATCTACATGTAGCCAGGCAATGTGGGTTCGAAAACAAGAACAGTCAAGGTCTCTGCCCTCACAGACATTTTGCAGTTACTCTACTTTACAGGAAGTCAAGCTCAGGAGAATGAAGTAACTTAGCCAGGATGTGACCCCAAAACCCAGCCCCGCATCTGCTACACCGGGCTTCCTCCTGCACCAGGGCCTTCTAGACAGGCCTTGGAAGCCGGCTGAGGGGCTGGCTGGAGGCAACCCGGAAGGCACCCCCCTTCCTTCAAGGTGCTCACGAGCAGCAGCACATACCCAGGGACATCCTCGCACGCAGGACAGCGGGCGCCCACCAGGGCGTGCAGATCAGGGTGCTGCAGGAGATGAGGGGGCGCTGGCTGCTGCAGAGCCAGCAAAGCCGTCCGAGGGAGAGTTTTCATCTGTCTCCAGGAGAGCCGCAGAGCCCAAAAGGCCTAGGCAGAGAAAAAGCACGGGGAAGGGGCTGCAGCACAAGGCCGGGGGTCAGGAGTCCAGACTCTGCCCTCTGGGGCCCTGGGAGCGTCCTCGATTCAAACCTCAGCCAAACGGTCCGTAAAACGGAGTTTTTAGCACTCCTAAACGTTATGGAGGATAAATGAGTTAACAATCATGAGGACTTGGCACAATGATTGACGCTTTGTAGGCAACCACTGACAGACAAGCGGTTTCGGGGGTTTCAGATGCCAGGAGTCGAGGTCAGGGATGGGGGCGTGAAAGTCATGGGGGCTCTGGCGCCCCTCTGCCTGCGTTCACGGCCCCGGGCACAGCGTCGCCGGGCCCCAGTTTGTAGTCACTGACGGGCACTAAGCCTTCCCGCAGCGGGGACAGGTGCGCTGACGCCAGCACGTGGCCGGCTAAGCCGCGCGGCGGCCGAGGGCGCAGCTCACCGCCAGTGTCTTTCCCGAGGACGCGCGAATCCCGACAGGCCCACCCCGGTGGAGGGGACCGGGCACTGCACCAGGGGCCGGGCCTGACCTGCGGCCGGCTTTCCCGGCCCCCCAAGGGGCCTCAGTTTTCCCTGATGCGGGAAGAAGCGCAGACCACGCGCCCCGCAGTGGACTCACCCCGGCGCCCTGGCGTCGAGCGGCGGCGGAGACTGGGCAGACAGAGCGGCAAAATGCGCGATGGCTGGAGATCCCGGGAGATGGCTCCGAACGGCAAGGCACTGCAACCCCAACGGCCACACCACCAGGAAGCTCCACTCATTCAGCGCGGGCGGAAATACAGCTGAGGCTGCGGATTGCGGCCTAGAGCGGCGCCTTCGCCGGGCGGAACCTGCGCCAGCGGCCCTGCAGCGCCCCCCGGCGGGGCGGAGCTCAACTTCGGACGCTGGAGGGCTTGGGATACTTTCCAAATGCTATTAATAGAATTTTGAAAGTAAACTTTTCCTCACTTGCTTTGTTTTTCCGTTTGTTCTGAAGGTGCTCCTTGGTCACTAATTTGATATTAATCTGCAGAAATTGTCAACCTTCCGCCATAGGAGCTGTTTCTAGGATGAGCTGGTGAATTGTGCTTAGTTTGGACTTTGTGTAAAGGTCCAGTGGGGATCTGGCTATTTGATTCACCACTAAATTCATAGTTCAGGGGCTGGCCACGTTGAACGAATGAATGAATGCATTCTACCTGTATTTTTTTTTTCTGAACATTGTCAGACTGAGATCTCTGAGACATGGCCCCATACTGGAATATGAGAGTGAGGCAGTCCAGCCCACAGATGTGCGCAGGAGACAAATGCTTCCCTAAACTTGGTCCCCTAAGTACACGGGATTGGGGGTGGCAAGAGTCCTTGACTCGCAGAGACCTGATTAGATTTGCCTCTGAGGAACCTGATCAGATGTGCTCAGTGGCAGAGACTGCAGACAGATGTTCCATGTTCCTGACAGGCTTGGGAGAGGGCGCATGACCCCAAATCCTCACAAGCACTGCCACTGCCTGTATCCTGGGCCAGTGTGCCTCTTGGACCTGAGGTGGCCCTGCCACTAGCTGTGCCCACTCTCTGGTTGGTTTTTTTTGTTGTTTTTTTTTTTGAGACAGAGTCTTGCTCTATCGCCCCAGCTAGAGTGCCATGGCATTATAGCTCACTGCAACCTCAAACTCTTGGGCTCAAATGATCCTCCTGCCTCAACCTCCTGAGCAGCTGGGTCTACAGGCACATGCCACCACACCCGGCTAATTTTTCTATTTTTTGTATAGACACGGTTTCGCTTTTGCTCAGGCTGGTCTTGAACTCCTGAGTTCAAGTGATCCTTCCACCTTGGCCTCCCAGAGTGCTAGGATTACAGGCATCAGCCACCATGCCTAGCCGTCAAACCTAGATTTTCTTTTGCACTCCTTGTTCCTATAACAAGGGAACCTTGGCCGATTCATTCCTCCATTCCCAGGGCCTGCAGGAGGCCAGGCGCCTGGGAGGGTGGCTGATGCTTGTTGACTGTTAGTGGAACAGGATGTTACAATGGGTGTTGCAGCCAACACACCAACAAGGTGCCAAGGCAGAGGGATGGACCGTATAAAATCACATCTTAAGAAACAAACGATAAAAACAAAATAAAATGTAATTGCTGTTGTGGTAGGTAAAAAATGATTAAATCTTGGTGATTTTTGAAGGTTCCATCTGATAAAATGGCAGCTGCCTTCCAAAGAAGGTATCAGACCAGATGTAGAATTAAGGAAGGAAATAACCAAAAAATAGTTGCCTGTGACTCTTGAATCCTCTCTTCCAATTGAAGGGTATTAACAGTGTAGAATTAGAATTTAAAGAGAGGGGGAATTATTAATTATATTTCTTAGGAAAAATAAGGGATCTATGAGTCTCACCCGCTGCCCCCAAGAGGAAGAGATAGGGAGAGAACCCAGGCATATCACTGCAACTCAGCAAGAGGAGCTTCGGCAGGTCATGAGGAAGCTTGATATTTGTCACCTGAAGTTGAGAGCACAGGTGACGGGGCCTGACCCACTCCGGAGTCAAAAGTTCATAGTCTCTTTCTGCAGGTGTAGAATCTGTGGTTCTAATATTTGACTGGTACCCAGAAGGTCCTGCCCAAGAGGGAGCCTGCCAAGGTGAGAGGATCCTAAGAAGAGGATCTGTGCACATCAGTGGGGCACAGCTAAACGGTGACAGGAGGGGAGTCTCCAAAGAACCCATGAAAGAGGCCATGCGAGAATACTCAGCATTAAATACCCTGGAGGGGGCGTGGGCTTCTTGGAACAGTACCAGACAGAAGAGCAGTGTCCCTCCTCCTCACTTTTTACCCCTTCTGTTTTGATCCGGGAAGTGCTGGCAGTGGGTGAGAGGACAGAAAACTCCTGGCGAAGAGAAACACATCTGCATAAGTGAAGAGAGAAGGCCCACATCCCCTCCCCAGCAGGCAGCAGCCCACCCTGTGCGTGGCCCCAGCTGGTGGGGAGAAGTCTTACTATGAACGATCATTGAAGACATAATTCATATATTAGACTGGAAATTTAAAATTATGTAATGAAAACTGTGTTTTCCATTTTTAGTGATTGCAAGACTTTTTAATGCCTAAGAATGATCAGAAAAGTTCGGAGGCCTGCCTGATATTTTTTTAGGGGTAGGGAAAAGATACATCCACTTAGCAAGTCTAAACACACAGGGGGCAAAAAAAATTGATGATTACATGTCAGAAGTCCTGCTTTCAACATACTGGTTGCATTAATAAAGGATTGAGCTGTAGCTGGGAGGACAAAATTCCACCATCTGGGAGTTTGTGACCTCATAGTGGCTGAGAGATCCCCATAGCCTGGAGCCCCTTTGTTTGAAGGGATGGAATCATGGCTGGCTGGACATATTGTTCCAAGGAGATGGTGCCCAGGGTCTAGGTGGGAATAAGCAACTGACCACTCGAGACCTGCAGACACTCCAGGCCCCGTCCCCACATCAACGATGATCACCATGCTGGAGAGTTTGCTGTGTCTGTCCATCCTCCTCTGCTTCTTACTGATCCTCTGTTACTGCGTCTTTCAGGAGCAATAGGCCCAGGGCTCCTGCAGGCTGGGACTGAGGCTTAATGGAAACCTCGGCCAGTCCAGCCCTCTGGGCCTCTCAGACAGGATGGGCTCTTCTCGAACTGCCCCTGGGCTGGGTCTTGTCCTGTTTGGTGGCCTCTGGCCCTCACTGGATGCTCCGGCAGACTGAGATGAGATGGGGGTCTTCCCATCAGCTACCACCTAGGTCTCAGCACCGTCTTCCTCCTGGGTCCCCTAGCTGGATCCTCCGACCCCCACAGCCTCCTTGTCGCTGGTTTTTCTTCTGGTTCGTTGTCGTCCTGGGCTGAAGGCTGCTGGCTCTGGAGAGGGGGTCAGTGTGGGGCTCAGTGAAGGTGTAATTGACTTAGTCTTCTGGGCCCTGGGGAGCGGGAGTCCTGGCTAAAGACCGATAACTTCAGCCAGGAACATTGTACTTTCCTTCTATCTGCGATGAACGATCCGAGAAAACGATCTTCTCAGCTCATGAATCAGGATGGTCTTAGCCAGTTAGTGTTTCCCTGGACAACTTTGGACTTGCCTTGCTAAATAACAGATGTTTCTGGCTAATTACTTTAACCTCCCTGGCTTGAGAATTGTAACTTTTTTGCCTGAAAACTTGGGCGTTCAAGATAATGATATTCGAGTTTGGTTCATTGTCTTTCACCATTCTAACGGCCACATCAGGTCTTCACTCATAAGACCTTGGGTTTTCCTGGCCAAGTGCATCAGACATCCCTGACTAATTTTCTGGGCCTTCCAGGATAAAAATAGAAGAAAATTTCTGTGATTTCGCCATTATGCATGATATTGGCTGATGGTTTAAGATACGTATTTTATTCCGAGAATTTTTAAAAATTTTGAATGGATATTAAATTCTATCAAATGTTTACTGGAGATATGATGAGCTATATAAATAAACTATTAATAGAATGGTGGTTGCCAGGGCTGGGAGCAGGAAGAAATGGGGAGTTGTTGCTTAATGGATACGGAGTTTCAGTTTTGCAAGATGGAAAGAGTTCTGGAAATTGGTTGCACAACAATGTGAATGTACTTAACACTACTGAACTATACAGTTAAAAATGGTTAAGATAGTAAGTTTTATGTTGTGTGTATTTTATCACAATTAAAAATTCATAAGCAGTGTGGGAATCTGGGAAAAAAAGAAAAAAGAAGAAAAATTCAAAAAATAGGTAAAATAGGCCAGGCGCGGTGGCTCACGCCTGTAATCCTAGCACTCTGGGAGGCCGAGGTGGGCGGATTGTTTGAGCTCAGGAGTTCGAGACCAGCCTGAGCAAGAGCGAGACCCCGTCTCTACCAAAAATAGAAAGAAATTAATTGGACAGCTAAAAATA